GGGTTATGGGGGAAAGGAACCGTCAAATTTACGAACGGGGCACCGAAGCGCCTCCCGGGTCATCCCATGACATTGAGGTTCTGTCACTTGAACCTTGCCCCTATTATTATTATTATTATTATTATTATTATTATTATTATTTCTATTATTATTATTACTAGTATTATTAATATAGTTCTTATTATTATTATTATTATTACTATTATCATTATTATTTCTGTTATTATTATTACTATTATCGTTAACATTTATTTTATTATTACTATTAATATAACTATTATATTACTCCGTAATAATTTTAATTTAAATTGAATTTGTATCAGATCAGATGAGATAAGATTAGACTAGATCAGATCATGTCAGATGCAATCAGATCAAATGAGATGAGATCAGATTAGAACTTTAAAAAATCAGATCAGATCAGGCGAACAAAACACAACCTCTATGGTTAAAAATGATGAAAGGTATATAAAAATATATTCCGTTGTAGATAAACAACTCTAAGTCTTGTCGGATGGACTGAGGTTCATGTAGAAGAGATGGGCAAAAGTGTCAGACTAGTGACATCAGATCGCTCTTGTAAAAATATCAGTACTATTGAATGTTAGATCACTTCGGTCTTTTGGAATTGGTCCGGACTAATCATAAAAAAATAAAACATTTTGAGACTCGGTATGGTTACAATCGGTCCAAATCTGGTCAAATCATTTTTTAAATATGTAATTTTTTAAATTTTTGTTCTTTAAAAAATAAATATACAAATTCTTACTTTTGATTATTTTTTGCTTTTTAAGTCTATAATTTATTGACAAAAAATAATTACTTACACATCCAAATTTTTTTTCCAAAGTAGAAGTTGGATAGAATCATCAAAGAAATAAACTTTAATTTGTATATTTTGTACGTTTAAGATTTTTTATTTTCTTATCACTTATTTATAAATTAATAAAAAAAATGTACTATTATCTATGTTGATAAATATAGATAAAATGACTTTCTCCCTTAGCTTGAGTAACAGGAAGTGAACTCCCTACGATTCATGAAAAAGTTCACCCTGATTTAATTTTTATTATGGGTGGCGAAGACATTGGCTCACTATTTGTCATTAGATTGAGAAATTATGAAGAGATAATACACTGTAATACAGTCAATATCACTCGCAAAATATTGATAAGATTAACATATTTATATAAAAAAATATTGATTATTTTTTTCTTTTTAATTCTATACTTTATTGACAAAAAATAATTACTTATACATCCAAAATTTTTTATCCAAAGTAGAAGTTGGATAGAATCATCAAAGAAATAAACTTTAATTTGTATATTTTGTATGTTTAAGATTTTTTATTTTCTTATCACTTATTTATAAATTAATAAAAAATAATGTACTATTATCTATATTGGTAAATATAGATAAAATGACTTTCTCCCTTAGCTTGAGTAACAGGAAGTGAACTCCCTAAGATTCATGAAAAAGTTCACCCTGATTCAATTTCTATTGGTGGTGAAGACATTGGCTCACTATTTGTCATTAGATTGAGAAATTAAGAACAGATATTACATTGTAATAAAGTTAATATCACTCATAAAATATTGATAAGATAAACATATTTATATAAAATTAAACTTTAAATTATAAATATACTTGTTAGAAAATTATATTTCAAATGTATTACAATCCTAGTCTGATCCATGTCTAATCTTTTGAAAATGACCACGGGTCCGATATAGTCTCTCACCAAAAACTAAGGACAAAATCAAACTTCCAATTCAAGACGAGACTCGTCTCTAGGACCACTACGATTCCTTTTATTCTAGTCTAAGAGTCTGTTTTGTAGAGCTTAAACTTTTAACTTTCAGTTTTTTCTAGTTTTTTCCAATTCTTTCTTTTTCTTCCAATTTCTTCTAGTTTTTCAAGTTCCTTTCAATTTATTCCAGATTTTCTAACTATTCATATTTTCTTCATTTTTTTCAACTCGCCAACTAAGACTCCGAAAAATGACATGTTTTTCATGTATTATTATTATTATTATTGTCAGTTCATAACTAAAGTCTATTTTTAAAATTTTAAATTTTTTCCCTTATCGCTATTTTTGTGATTTCCACTAATTATGAAGTATTATTTTTTCTTCCATTTTTTATTATAAAAGATACGAACTACAATTTTATTGAGATTTTTTTTTAAATTTATGTACATGGTACTTAACTATGTTCTAAGAATTAGGGATATTTTACCATCTAGATTGAATGGGAAATACAAGAATATTTTAAATTAAATAATAATTAGATTACTCATTATGTCCCTAATTAAATTGTATGTACACAATTTGCATGGTAACATTATTCACAATTTTTATCTATGATGATGATGGTGATGATGACGACGACATGGGATGATGATAATAATAATAATAATAGTAATAGTAATAGTAATAGTAATAATAATAATATAATGTTAAGAATAATAATAATAATAATAATGTTAAGAACACTTGTAACAACAACAATAAAACTTTTAATAAGAATTATATATATATATATATATATATATATATATATATATATATATATATATATATATATATCTTTTATATATATAAAGCAGAGTCAGAGCTATAAGAACGTGACATTTGGCAGAGCTAAAACGCGACATGTGGCGAGCTGATATGGCGACATTTGGCAAAGCTAAAGTGCGACATGTGGACAAACCGATCGGTTTGACATGTGGACATTTTTGCAAATATAAAATAAAATAAAAGGACATTTCACATGTCAAACCGATCGGTTTGTCCACATGTCGCACTTTAGCTTTGCCAAATGTCGCCATATCAGCTCGCAACATGTCGCGTTTTAGCTCTGCCAAATGTCACGTTCTTATAGCTCCGACTCTGCTTTATATATATAAAGGATTAACAAAAGAACTCTTTATCTATTCTAAATTTTTTACGTTGATTATACTAATATTTGACTTTTCTAAATATATTCTGTTTGATAAAATAATATAGTCCAACAAAATAATCATCTCACCAATAATTTTTTTGATATATTTAACCCCAAAAATAAAGAGTCTAATTTACATACCCCATTTAAAAATTGAGTAATTACTACGGAGTACTAGTCTACTAGTATTGATCTTGTGCTCTACTTTAGATAGTTAGATAAGTCTTTCTATATTTGCGGAATTTCAAATCAACCGTTTGTATATTTTTCCCATCGTAACGGCGAATTGCTTCTCTGCTCGCTCGAGAGGAAAACATTCTCAACAAAACTCCCCTTTCTTTATCGACATCTTTACCAGTACTCATTGCAATTCAAAAACCATATCTATCACCTTTTCCATCCATGGAAGATCTCTATCGCCATTCCTGGCAAGATCCCCTTCTGCTCACTGACGTTTCTTGTCAGCAATTGCATCATTTCAGCTCCTGCAATGCTTGTAAGCTTCTCGCTCTGATCACACCTTCAAATTTTATTGTTCCGACTTCTATTGTTTATTTGGCTCTTCAATTTGATTCTATTTGGCCTCTTTGTTCCGAACGTTTGCAGGTCCCAATCACCCAGTTTCTGATTTAGCATATTCTCCAGTCCAAGGTGATGTATTTCAATTTTCTATATTTTTTTCTTCATATTTTGGGTCTTGTTCTTCAATGCTGAATAAATTTATTGTTTGGTTGATGTAGAGATAGGCCCGGAGAGAATTTATACTGACCCGATTGTGGAAAATGTAATGAAAGGTAGTCATTTGAAAACCTTTTTTTTGTTTTTGTTTTTAACTCATCAACACATTGGAAATTTCAAAATTCAGTGCTGATATTGATAACTGTCAATCCGTGATTATTTGATTTTCACAGATCATTATTCCACAACTCCTTATTTAAGCACCTCAAAATTGCAAGGTAGTTATAGTTCTTTTTCAGTGTTTCTCATATTTTGCAATCTAAAGAGGGTTTATTATTTTTTATCAGTTCTTATGAGATTGAAGGGTTTTGTTTTTGGTTGATACAGAAAGATGGATCACAGACCATATTCATCACGATCCAATTGTAGAACATACAATGGGAGGTAAGATTCTCAATGAAGTCATGATCTTCTTTTCAACTTTTCTTTTTTGGGTCTTCAAATTTTTTAACAAATTAGGATTACTTTTATATTGGACTATTCAGGTTTTGAGATCTTGGGGTTTTCACTAACGTCTCCTGATTTGGTGATCTGTTCTGATTCACCGGAAATTCTTAAACAATGCTATGTAGAATCACTTGAAACTCTCGATCCTCATGGCTCATTTGAAGTGTCTTTAGATAATGGGATCAATGGGTCTGAACCTAAGGATTCTATTGATACAGCTGCCTCTGTAAAGTTTTCAACTTCGTTTTCTGGATCTAAAGGTGAATTTGAGCTTCCTCCCCCGCCAGTCATGGAAGAGTTTTCGCCTGTCCACTTGAGCACGACAGTGAGTATGAATGTTGGACTGCACAAAGAATCGGCATGCCCACAATTGACACAAAGCAAGCCTGAGAAGGTTATATTTTGAAGCATATTCAGTGTATTCAAACAAGCTGTCTTGATTTGATTGATAGAGTAATGTATTTAGGCCACTGATCAGGTCGAAGAAGATGGAGAAGATCAAAGGCGGGAGCTGGAGAATGAATTCCAAGAGAATGAACTTGAGGAAACCAAGAGGCACCTGGAGGAACTTAAAAGGCTTAATGAACAAAAAAGTAGAGAATGCCAAGAAGCACAGAAGGCATTGAAAGATCTTCAGAATGAGCTAATGCGCAAGTCAATGCATGTTGGGTCCCTAGGTACATGAGTACTATTATTATTATTATTATTATTATTATTATTATTATTATTATTACTCCCACATTAATTATTACTAATAAACTGTAAAAGTTTCGAAGGACATAGTTCTAATGAAATTTTTTATTAGCTTTTGCAATTGAGGGGCAGGTAAAAGAAAAAACCAAATGGTTTTCCACATTGAGAGACTTGACTAGAAAAGTGAAGGTATTAAGCTTTCGTTCTCATCGTTATGTTGGGTCCTCAAATGTATATTGATTAGCGCTATGGATTTATTTACACAGATTATGAAGATGGACCAAATCAAGCTATCAGAAGATGCTTTTTCATTTAAGCATTACATAGAAGATGTGGCTAATATGAGCTTTCTCATCCAATCTAAAAGTATAGTGCCTATCAAATTTTAGTTTGTCTGGTTCATAATAAATATAATTCTGAATTCTAATTGATCCCCACCCAACACACAACTTGTAACAGTGAAACAACATGTTGAATTGCATGAAGATCTTAAGATCAAATTTATTAAAGGGGCCAAGGAACGAAAGGAGCTTTATAACAGGGTTTTGGAGTTGAAAGGTATGTGTATCATGTTCTAATCTTTCAAATAAAAGGTAAAATGTAATCGATAATTAACTTGTTCATGACCATTTTCAGGAAATATTAGGGTATTCTGTCGCTGCAGACCTTTGAGTGTTGAAGAGATTTCTATGGGAGCTTCAATGGCAATTGATTTTGAAGCTGCCAAGGACGGAGAATTAACAGTAAAATCAAATGGGCTATCTAATAAGAAGACCTTTAAATTTGATGCTGTTTTCAGACCCCAAGCAGGACAAGGTAATTGAAGGTTATTCTTCTTTTTATATTATCTCAATATTATTATTGCTTTTTTTGTTGTTGTTCCTGCCAATTTATGTTCACAGAGTTTTTGATCACATCCACTTTTTTGTTCTGTGTGTGTGCGGGGAGACAGTTGAAGTCTTTGAAGACACGGCACCGCTTGCAGCATCCGTCTTGGATGGATACAATGTTTGCATATTTGCCTATGGTCAGACTGGTACTGGGAAGACTTTCACAATGGAAGGCACCAATGAAGCCCGTGGTGTCAACTACCGAACTCTAGAGGAACTATTTCGCATTATCAATGAGCACAAAAATACATTCAACTATGAAATATCCGTCAGTGTGTTGGAAGTGTATAATGAGCAAATACGAGACTTGTTGGTTTCTGAAACACAGTCAGGAATGAATACTACAAAAAGGTAACTTAAAGAACTCTCTTCTATACTTCTATCAGTTTCACTACCACTAAATTGACTACGATCACAATAAATGCCTATCACTGGATGTGATAAACTAAGCATTCAACATCTGATTATCAACTGTAGCTTTGTTAATTTAATTTTTTATTCAATTATCTCAAATGAAAATTAAAAGGAAACAATAATTCATATTTAGGCTTTGTTTATATTCATTGAATCTTATCATATTTTTTTCATGATCATAAAGATTGTTAGAACAATATTTTTTTTATTGTTTTGACTGCACTTAGAAAAATAGAAACCTTCTAAGCTGCTTGCGTACCCCAATGAATGTGATCAAGCCACTCGTAGTTCAAAACTCGGTTACTGAATAGAACCGGATAAATCTTCAAGGCGCGTGATCAATGAGACTATTTTCCTAAAAGTTTCTTATCTAGCCTATTATATAAGCAAAAAGGATTACAAGATAGAAGTATAGAACTTTTGAGATACAACGAAGGAAACCAAATGGTTTGGTTGTTCTACTATACAATTTGCTAATGCACTTAAATGAGATTTGTCTCAAGAAGAGGACGAGACGCATGGAAAAAGTTCATGGAAATGAGTTATCATTAATTACTATTTCATTACCATAGAACAAACTCAGGAGAAATAAATAATAAATTACTTCTTTAATATTCATGTACATTTTAGTACTAGTATTAATTAAAATTTAATAATAAAAAAATCCTTTGAAGAAATAAATAATAAATCGTTTCTTCTTCATTCTAGATAACCAATAAAATAGTAATTAATAATAAATTAATCATGTACACACTCCATATTATTTATAGGAAAAGATTGTGTCTTTTTATGAATGGTCATGTCTCTTTTGTCCACTTATTCTAAATTCAAATTTGAATTCAAAATAAATCTCCAACAATCCTTCTTCATTTATTGAGAATCCAAAATATGCTCAAATCTTGCCACGAGACAAATTTCAAAAAGTTGAGCATTAATGAAAGTGTCATGCTGATTGAAGTTTTACTTCGCTATGTAACCTAAAGAACAATAGAAGTTTACCAAAAGTACAATATAAACTTGACACTTTTTACTCTAGCCATGTGTTCATAGCCATTTGTGAACATAACCAAGTCAAGCTCTTAACTTGGTGAAGCTGCTACAAATCATGTTCACATAGGTCAATCGTTTTAGGGCGTGTTCTTTAAGTTGGAATTCCAAAGTTGGATGTTGGAACACATAGGAAGGAGTTGGAAAATACTCCGTACTAGAAGAAGCTGGAAAATGCTGGAAAAATTAAGTGTTAAAAAATCACTCAATTAATTGATAGCCCAAATAATTAAGTAAGAAAACTAATTTTGGATTAAAAAGAATAAATCTTTCCGTGTTTGAGGTTGTAAATTATAAATTTGGATATATGATGTTATTGTAAATCCATCATATGTAAATAAGTATTTAAGTCATCGTTGAAGATACTAGGAGTTGAAAAAAATGAAAGAAGTTGGAAGAAGACACCCTTAATCATGTTGTGCAATTGCAACACTATCAAAAGATCTATTAAGACACTCCACAAAATCTCGGGATGATATTTATCATTTGGGTTGCAATTACTATGTAAACCACTTGTCCACATTGAACTCAAGATCTAGCGATATACTAGACGTTTAGTTGTGCTTTCGTTCACACATAATTGTTGATGGACTTAGTCTCATCCCTCATATATTTTGTAATTAGCCATTATCATTTCTTCATTATGATCTAGAAAAAATAGTTGACTTTTATTTAATCATCATATATAGAAGAAATTTATCCCTTGATACACGCGTTAAAACTGAGGCAATTCACCAAGCTTGAATTTAAACCATACAATATATATTATTTTATTCTATTGTACAGCCAAACAAAAGTACCTCCTCCATGAAGACAATCCTCTAAGCTTGGATTTAAACCAAGCTGCACTTAGAAAAATAAAAAACCTTCCAAGTTGCCTATGTACTCCAATGAAGGGGATCAAGCCACATGTAGTTCAAAATAATGTTGGGGAATATACAATTCGCTAATGTACTTAAATGAGAGTTGTCTTAAGAAGAGGACGAGACACATGGATAAATAATTCATGGGAATGAGTTATCATATATTAATTAATATTTCATTATCATAGAACAAACTCTAAAAAAATAAATACTCCCTTTCTACAAAAATTATTTTAACAAAAAAGTAACTTTTGGGCTCGTTTTTTTCTTATATAGGAAAATAAATTACCTTTATGCAATTTTTTAAATGTTAAGCCACAACTTTATGGTACCATAGCCTGCGACTGATCATGTATAGTTTCCATGTATAAAGGCTTGAAATTAAGCAAGTTGGTGAAGGAGCGCATCGTGTTCCTGGACTAGTGGAGGCCCAAGTAAACAATATGGATGAGGTATGGGATGTCTTGCAGACTGGCAGCCATGGAAGGGCGGTGGGGTCTACGAATGCCAATGAGCACAGTAGCAGATCACATTGGTATGAATCCAGTATGCCCTCCTCCCCCTATGTGTGTTGTTTATGTTGTTTTACTAAATAGGTTAATATCTACACTGTGTTTAGCATTCACTGCGTGATGGTAAAAGGGGAGAATTTGTTGAATGGGGAATGCACAAGGAGCAAGTTGTGGCTAATTGATCTTGCTGGAAGTGAGAGAATTGCAAAGACAGAGGTTCAAGGCGAAAGGCTGAAAGAAACACAAAACATAAACAGATCACTGTCTGCTCTTGGGGACGTGATATCTGCACTTGCCAATAAGAGCCCACACATCCCTTTTAGGTACTTCGATATTAGGTTTTATAGCAAGATAAATTTGCCTTGTTTTCTTTTTCTGGGCTTTTTTAATCATGTAAATTGTAATTGGTTTTTAACTTTCTCTTTTATGAATTGTTTAGAAACTCCAAACTGACTCATTTGCTCCAGGATTCATTAGGTAATATTTTTTTAAAAGTTTTACACTTATGGTATGTACATATTAGAAGCTCTAAATTGACTCACTTACTTTGGATTCTCCAGGAGGAGATTCAAAGACACTAATGTTTGTACAAATCAGTCCTAACGAGAATGATCTTAGCGAGACTCTCTGCTCATTGAATTTTGCCAGCCGAGTGCGAGGGGTTGAGTTAGGTCCAGCAAAAAAGCAGCTAGACAACACTGAGATCTTGAAATATAAACAGATGGTATATACCAGCTACTTATTGGGATATAAACTTTTTGCCTGTATTTACAAAAACTAAAGGACAATTTTATGACCTGTCCCGCAATATTTTTTTTTCCAAAAAATATGATCATCGTTTCTTTCAGGTTGAGAAGAATAAGCTAGATATGAAAACAAAAGATTTCCATGTTAAGAAGATGGAAGATGCAATTCATGGACTGGAGATGAAAGTGAAAGAGAGAGATGTAAAAGTTAAGAACCTCCAAGACAAGGTATGCAAGGTTTAATCTTTTCCGAACTTTATGGACTATTGGTATTCATGAAGAGTCATTAACCTTAGTTGTTGGAGCGCATTATGTTCATGCATATTTTTGTGCACTTTCAGATCAAGGAACTTGAATCACAACTTCTTGTGGAGAGGAAACTATCAAGGCAACACGTGGATTCTAGAATTGCAGAACAGCAGCAACAATTGAGACAACAGCATGATGATCAAAATGCTGCAAGGCCTCCATTTTCAGTCAAAACTACCCTAGCTCAAGCTAATCTCAATCGTCCACTTTCTGAGAACAATAAATACAACCACTATGTGGCTCCCAGTCATCTGGACGCCTTTGTTAGGCGAGATGATGTACCAGAAAGAGAAGACAAGGAAAACAATCCTGGGATGGAACACATGTTAATGCCAAAACGAACTGGTAGAGCATCATTTTGCCCAGCTCTAAATAAATTACCATCTGCATGTGCTCCACGACGGAACTCTCTAATCCCATTGCCGAGTGTTACCAGTCGAGCAAAGTTGACACCTTCAGTTTTTCCATTGACACCAATTCAAGCAACTGAGGAGGAGGATGTTGACAATGTTGATGGTAAATGCTTACCTGAACCATTGCCAGGGGATAGTCCTACAGACCTAAAATTTGAAGGTAAGAAACTTAATGATGCGCTAAGACGAAGCATCAACAAGAGACTTCAATTGAAGTCCCCAATGCTACAAACTAGAAGAGGAGTGAACGTGGGAATTGAGAAAGTTAGAGTTTCTATAGGAAGTAGGAGGGTTGCCCATAGAGTATTACTTGGGACTACTAGAAGAGTTCTAACTAAAGAAGGACAACAGAAACAAAGTCAAAGAGAAAAGGAGAGAGGGTGGAATGCTGGAACAAATGCAAGAGGAACAGTTTTATGATCTCTTTTCGTATGTCCTTTTTATCTTTTCTCCAAGTCTGGCTCAAATAGGTATTTAGGGTGATTCATGCTTGAATCTGTTTTGATTAATGTTATGATTGATGTATATATATGTGATTGTACTTGTTTTTTATTGTTACAGACTTTCTTCTTTTTGCCTGACTATGAATTTTTCAGTGTGGATAAATGTGGGACTCGACCTTTGAATTGGAAATTGTTTCCTTAGATCTCACATCTTACATACTCTGACAACTCTATTAACACGACTAATTAATACGTTGCATTTTTGTGTGTTGAATTACTCGGTATAAGAATTTGTGAAGTTCTTTGGCCTAAGAGTTCTATGTATACATGCAGAATGTATAAACACACATATACTGTAAGACTATTCCCAATGCTAAATGGGACTGAGGGATTCTAAAACAATTTAGTAATGATATGTCATCAAAAAAATACAATCTCTCAATCTCAAATACAATCTCTATCTCACAATGATAAAAGTAAAAAATAATAAAAATAAGTGCTCTAACTTTAACTGTTCCAGAACTTCACTAGCAAGAGGCTTGAAATAGATGTTCCACTTCATTGTCTTTTACCATCCCATCCACCTTCCATTGGGGATGGTCTAACAACAACACCTTGAATCGTGAAAATCATGAGCTTACACATATCTCTGTAGTAGCCAAGGAAGAAGTTTCCTTCTGCTTCATATGGGAAGGAATGATGTTGAATTTAATAGCAGAGGAACAAAATTGTTTGAAGCATTCATCTTGCAAGAATAATTGATTCTACTGTATCATAGATACTTGAAATATGGACCATGAAACACAGAAATGTGTTTTTTTTGAAGCAAATAGAAATGTGAAAAATAGAAATGTGAATTAAAGCAAAGAAAAGGGTAAAAAAATTCATTGCTGGTGGGAAACGGAGAAGCCAACATTCAATTATATGCTTACAAAATTAACTCAAGGTGTAAATCATATGTACAAGCTATGCAAATTATATTCCAGATGAATTCTATCTATAAGCTTGAAGTAATCTGTAATTTGGAATCCTGGATACTATTAGATGGAAAGAGCATGCTCTGTATTCATTATCTCCCATGTGAAAACCAATGGATCTCTTAGAAAGTTGCTAGTCAGAGGCGATGTGAGGCATAACTGTGGTGCTTAATTAGTAATAATTGCACCACTGTTATTATTAGATTGGTTGTCATCATCATCATCATCATCAGCATCATCTAATGGAGTTTCTGATGTTGGAGAGGGCAGTGAATTGCTCATTGCTTCCCTGGCATCAATCAGCATTGCAACTACTTGCCTCATCGTTGGCCTGTTGAGGGGAGATATATTGGTACAGAACAATGCAATCTTGAGAACCAAAGACATCTCCTCCGTTGTTCTCCCCAAAAGACTATCAAGCCGTTTGTCAAATACACAAGAGATTGACGCTCCTTCACGAACTGATCTTCTCACCCAAGTTACTAGATCTCCTCCTTGATCAATGTGTTGAACTGGAGATCCTCCAGTAACTAGTTCCAGCAGAACGACTCCAAAGCTATATATATCAGATTTCTCGGTAACTTTCAGTGTGTATGCATATTCTGCAATTAAATTTGAAAGCATGCATAAATATATATATAGCATTACTTATATGAAAGAGGTTACGTGTATGCTGAAACACAAAAAAGGATTTAAAAGTGGCCTTACCGGGTGCGATGTAGCCATATGAACCAGCTACAGATGACATTGATTTTGAGTATGGCATGTCAATTAGCTTTGCCAAGCCAAAATCTCCCACGTGTGCCTCGAGCATTTCATCCAATAAGATATTGTTTGATTTTATGTCACGGTGGATGATCTGTGGCTTGCAATCATGGTGGAGGTAACACAGACCCTCAGCTGCTCCGAGAGCAATCTTGTACCGGTCATTCCAGCTCAGTATACAATTTTCTTTATTCCCATGAAGAATTTCCCCCAGACTTCCATTTTCCATGTACTCATACAAGAGAAGACTAGAGTCATGACGGTAGCAGTAACCATAGAGTTTCACAATATTTCTATGATTGATATTTCCAAGTGTTGATAGTTCAGCAGTGAAGCTGTTCTCTATGTTCCCTCCTCCTCCAGACTTCAGCTTCTTAACAGCAATCACCTCTCCATTGGTCATAACAGCCTTGTAGACAACACCACAGGCTCCTCTTCCTATGATAGCACTTTCTGAAAAACCCTGAGTGGCTATGACAAAGTCCTGAAAAGTGTATCTTTTTTGGAGAGTGTGATGTTCATTCGACGAATCAGCATCCACTTGATTGTTTACCAAGACAATGGATCTTGTGTGGTTCTTCATCATCCAACAAATACCGACAATGAAGATCAAAGACACCAATCCAACAGCTGCTGAGCAAATGATAATTATTTTCTCTCTGTACGTAACCTTTTTCATCCAACTTGGATTCAAAGATGGTAATGGAGTTCGAGAGGGGAAGCAATTTGGTGAGTCCAATTTGCATAAACCTGCATTTCCATCGAAATTGCTGGAGTCCATTTTTCGAAAGAGGGGGGTGTCTGGCACTACCCCTACCAGGTTATTGTTAGAAAGGTTGCAAACGCTGAGGCTCATCAATTCACCAATTGAACCAGGAATCTCACCAGTAAGTTGATTGTCATTCAAGTACAGTGATTCAAGCAACTGCAAGTTTCCCAGATTTCTAGGAATCACTCCAGTCAGAGCATTATGGCTAATATTGAGAGAAATCTGAAGAGCTGTGAGTTGGCCAAGCTCAATAGGGATTTCGCCAGAAAAAAAATTCCCACCCATTTGCAGTTCGGTAAGCCTTGCCAGTTTCCCCAATGTATGTGGAATCTTTCCAATGATTCGGTTGTCTGATAGCTTAAGCAATTCCAAATTTACTAACAAACCCAGTGTATCGGGTAGGTTCTCGGTAAACCAGTTCTTGCTAAGATCAAGCCTCTGGAGCTTGATACAATCACCCAACTCATGAGGAATCGCCCTAGATAATCTGTTTGAAGAGACATTGAAAGTTACAAGCCTAACAAGTTTCCCTATTTCGGGAGGGATATGCCCAAGAAAATAGTTGTCCGACAGGAGCAATCTTTCTAACCTCCTAAAGTTCCCAATATCCGAGGGTAACAGTCCAGTGAACCGGTTTTGATAAAGCTCAAGAGCGGAAAGATTCTGAAGTTTGCACAATTCAACAGAAAGAGTGCCAGTGAGCAGGTTACCTCCTAGCATCAGCTGCTCAAGAGATTTGCAGGTTTTTAGGCTGTGAGGCATGTTTCCAGACAACTTATTTGAACCAAGGCTAAGAATTCTCAATTTCTGGAACCAGCAAAGTGTGGGAGGGATGCTTCCTATTAGATTGTTCCTTGACAGGACCAGAACGGAAAGGGCAGCTTTCACCCCAAGTAATGGTGGGATAGGTCCATCAAGATGGTTGTCAAAAAGTTGTATATTCTTCAAGGATTCAAGATTCTGAAACCCCAAAGGAATCAGACCTGTCAAGTTGTTTATAGATAAGTCCAACGTCTCAAGCTTCTTCAGTTCTTCAAGTTCTCTTGGGATATTTCCATGTAATTGATTTTCAAAAAGATGAAGCAGCCGGAGATTAGAAACTCGGCCCAAGGATTTAGGAATAATCCCACCCAAGAGATTTTCCGAAAAATCAATCTCAATAGCGCTAGAACAATTCCCAATTTCCCACGGAATGGTTCCGTTCAAATGGTTTCTGAAAATGAACAACGACTTTAGCTTTGTTAACTTCCCTATCTCTTTGGGAAGGGGTCCAGTGAATAAATTATCATCCAGCGCAAGTATTTCCAAGTTACTGAAGTTTCCTATTTCGGGAGGAATCACACCAGACAGAGAATTTGTACGAAGGAACAAGTGAGTGAGACTCTCAAGGCCTTGAAGTGCTACAGGAAATGGCCCCTCTAGCATGTTCTCTGCCAACCCAATGACTTGTAAACTCTCACATTCACCCAGTTCAGCAGGAACTGGACCCGAAAAATAATTTTTCCCCGCCCTAATAATTTTAAGCATTTTCAGTTTACCAATTGAGTTTGGAATCCTTCCAGTGAGATTATTACTGTAAAGTACAAGCTCCTCGAGAAAACTTAAGCTTCCAATCTCTGCATGGACTTCTCCATATACATCATTCTCGCACAGGTAAAGCTTCCTAAGGGAGGCCAAATGAGACCATCGAGAAGGGAAGCGATCATGAAAACGATTGGTGCACAAGTCTAATACCTCCACATTTTGGCAATGTAAAAAATCAGGAATATGACCAGAAATGGAATTTGCAGAGACGTTCAGTTCCTTCAAAGCAGGAAGCTGACAGATGGATGAAGATAAGCTTCCAGAGAGATAGAGGCCATGAAGATCTACATTAGTTACCTTGTGATATTCATTGCACGCTATATGCGCCCAATTGCAAGGATTCACATCAGAAGAATTCCAACTCTGGAGATTGTTGTAAGGGTCCATAAGAGATCTTTTGAATTCCAAAAGGCTGATCCCCTCCTGATTTAGAGCTTCTGTGGGGCTGCAAATGATAGAAACTAAGAATACTAAAGTTACTAAATCTGTATAGCTATCCATCTGGGTAATTTCAGCAAACAATTGGTGTGCCCTTAATCCTGCTCACAGCCATGAACTGAGGGTGAGAAACTTGTATACATGGAACTAAAGAAGCACAAGAAACAGATGCAACAAAGCATGATGTTTTTAATAATCAAATCAATAAGCCTAATTGATGAACACCCATGATAATAGCAAGGCAGAATCAATGATTCATCATCAATAATAGCAAAAAACAGCCCAAAAAAATTATCCTCACAAACTTTTGAACCACATTTGGTGTAATGACCAAAAACTAGGGCTCAAGGGTGAACAAAAGTTATGCTCTGTTAAATTTCTAGCTGGGCATTAACAAAATACAGAAGAAGTATTTGATATAGTCATATAGATCATGGGATGAATGAGAAGGTGGGTGGGGGATCCACCACTTCAACCATTGAACCAATGCAGGGAGGGAAAGAAGGTGTCATGTCAAGCTGGCCTAACA